GTTGGGTATGTTCTAAAGTGTGAAGTAGGAGTGTGTTTGGTTATAGATGTTTTATTGCTGAGTGCAGTCTGTCCATTTCTGAGTCTATATCTTCTGTTGTTTTCCCTTGTAGGTTAATCGAGTGGTGATTACTTAAGTCGTCTTTGAAGCTGTCCCAGTCTGTTTTACTCATTTTCAGTCTCTTTTTTATTGGTATCTGTATGGGGCTTGTTGACAGTGTTAGTATAATTGGCAGATGGTCACTGCCTGTATTATATGGTAATTGAAAAAGGCTTTGTTGTTGGTAAAAATTTTGTCTGGTGTCGATTGTGTATTGTGATTTCTCCAGGTTGGAAAGTTAGGACCCAGATGATTGATTTTTCCTAAATTTATTAATTGATTAAGGGCGTTTCCCGACGTTATTATTTTGTATTATCCAAAATCCTATGTCTGGCGTTAAAGTCTCCTAAGATGTATCGGATGACTATTATTGTAATTTTAATGGTGCTTCCTATAGGTAAGTATTAGCAATAATTACATTGAGTTGTATTTATTTTTATTGCTGAAATTCATCCTGGAAGTCATCAATTAGTTTAAATTTTAAGTTTCTTTAACCGCTACTCGCTACTCCGTCATTTTTCTCGCCGATTTATTTCTTTTGGTTTACATAATAGTTAAAGAGTTTTATGTTGTTGTTTTCTGTCTCACCGTGACTGTTTATTAGTATAATGTCAGGGTCAATTTCGCGATATATATTACTTAGGTTAATTATCTCGGTCTTCCAGTTTCTTACGTTGTGTTGTATTATTCTTAAAGTTCTTACTGTTTGTCTATTGTCCATTATTTCTTATACTTGGATTGTGGCAGTTGGAGTGGAGACCTATCATCCTGTTTCCCGCTTCTGACTCTTCTATACTCTGACAGGTCTACTATTTTAAAGTCTTTGGCCGTAATCTTTAGTTTGTCCGTAGTAATTAGTGACCAGACATAATCTTCACTTAGGGATTTTTCTTGATATGTCCACTTGTATATCCCTCCTTCACAGTTTTTACTATTGTCCCTCCTGTTGGTCTCGATGTTGGGATTCCATGTTTTGTTGTAGTGATAACTTTTAATCCAATTTCTTCAGCAGATTCAGGTTGTATATTGTGATCAGTTTCCATCTTATCTTCTCTCCTCCTACTCCTTTGTCTGTCCTTTTGTTATTTCTATCTTCTCTTTGTCACTTCTAGTCATTTGTCTGGGATCTCTATGAGTCGCTTGTGTTCCTTGTGTATCAGCTGTTGCTCAAACCTTTGTTCGTCTTGATGTAGTCTTTCTCTCGGATTCCGCTTGCATATGTTGTCTGAAATAGTTTTCGGATTATTGGATTCTAAATAATATCATCTCCTGGTAGGTTATTCAATTTAAACATTTTCCTTAATTCCTCATTGTATGATCCGGGTGCAATGATATTGTGCAAATATTGCATGGATCATACTAATCATTACCTTATCGTATTGGCTCACTTAGGTTTAATACTGTGGATTCTGGTCTGACCTCTTGGACCGCTCTCTTGGCTATTTCGACGTATGTCGTATCCTTCTTGTCTTGTTCCTTTTTCCTTGTTTCTTGTTCCTTGTACTTTATCATGTGTTTTTTATTGGGCATGCCATTGCTAATGTCCTATGTCCTATGTATGCATTCCCGTTTCTCTTACAGTTGAGACAGCCAACATGTGTATTCTTACATTCAGTGTAGGTATGGTCGTCGCCTGCACAATCTGAGCAGTACTTTTTTTCTTTTTCCGGACAGTCTCTCGTTGTGTGTTCTTCATATTTGTAGCAGGAGAAGCAAGTTTGCAGACTGATGAATGTCTCCTTCTTTATTTGATGTGGTGTGACTGATATGTTGAATATTAGAAAGCCCTGTTGTAAAACTTTCTCAGCCATTGACACTTCTTCAAACATGAGTATAGTCCTTTATCTTAATGACTTCTTCAATCTTCATCCACCTATTTTGGCGTTCCAGTTCTTCTTTCAGGTCTTCCTCCCGATCTCTTGATCGACTTGACGAACAAAAACTGATCTTTTTGCTTTTTGTTCTGGTGGCATGACAACAATAAGGCCTTCATTGTAAAATATATCTCTTGCTTCTTTTGAAAGGATTTTATCTGAATCAAAGTCATCTTTACAGATTACTTTAAAACCTTATTGGTGCTGAATATTCTAGTTAGTGGGACTTGCAGTTTGTTGTAAGTGATTTCTGCCACTTTTCCTTCCAATAGAGTGTCCTTATCTCTGTAACATTCTAATGCTAGTTGTCATCTTCTTGATTACATCTAATCCTACCTATAACTGGGAGGGCTCCTGCCTGGGGAGCAGTGACCCCGCCCCCTCTTGGACGGGCGTCGGGGCTCTGCACCCAGGTTACCTGTGACTATAGTAATATCTAAAAAGTTGCACCTACACCGGTGACCTTGGACAAAGGGTGCCCTGCACTATCACGGGTTCCTTGCCGGATCTGACCATATCGCGAAGTC